GTGTTGTCACTGTTTTACTTTGGCCATTCTGATAGGTATATAGCGATGTCATATTGTGGTTTTAATTTTCTCATTTCCCTAATGGCAAAGAATGTTGAATGTCTTTTCACAAGCTTATTTGTCACCTGAATGTCATCTTTGAGGAAATGTCTCTATGTCTTTTGCCTATATTCTAATTGGATTGCTGGCTTTTTTTATTGTTTTGCTTTGAGTTAATGATACAATCTAGATACCAATCCTGACACATACTAGAAATGTGGTTTGCAAGTACTTTCTTCCACTTTGTAGCTTATCTCCTTGTCCTTTTAACATATTCTTTCACAGAGCAAAAGTTTTAAATTTTGATGTTCAATCTATCATACTTCTATGGATTAAGCTTTTGGTATCAAGTCTTAAGAACTTTTTTGCCTAGCCCTAGGTTCCAAAGATTTTTCCGGATTTTTTGTTCTTCCTAAAAGTTATAGCTTTATATTTAAGTCCATGATCCATTCTGAGTTGAGTAAGGTGTGAGATTTAGGTCAGGGTTCATTTTGTTTTTGGCGAGGGATGACCAATCGTTCCAGGATTGTTTGTTGAAAAGGCAATTATTTCCTCCATTCAACTGTTTTTGCACCTTGTTAAAAATCAGTTGGGCACACTCATGTGGGTCTACTTCTGTGATCTCTATATGTCCATCCCTCCCATCAAGAACACAGTCCTGACTACTATAGTTATGTCTTGAAACTGGATAATTTCACCCACTTGATTCTTCTTTAAAAAAAATCATTTTAGTTATTCTAGTTCTTTTTGGCCTTTCCATATAAATTCTTGTATGATCTTGTATCTACCAAAAAGAAAATTACTTATGTCAAACCTGTGTATCAGTCTGGGGAGAAGTGACACACTTACTACATTGGGTTCTCCGACCCATGAGTCTCTCCATTTACTTAGGTCTCCTTTTCTTTTTTTTTAATCAGCATTTTGTAGTTTTCAGCATACAAGTCCTGTACACAGTTTTTTAGATTTACACCCAAGTATGTCACTTTTTCGCTTATTATAATTGGCACTGTATTTTTAATTTCAGCCTCCAGGTGTTCAGAGCTAGTATATAGAAATGCAATTGATTTTTCTAGGTTTATAGTTTGCAGTACGCCATGGCTGGGACTGCACACAGGAAGGCCCTAATTGTTCACATTTGGAATGTTCCCAGGTCCAAGTGGGTAAGGGCAGTCACAGGTAGGTTACATACATAGCACAGTAAAAATCTTGGGACATTGAATCTGGACATTAGGTCTGAGTGGCGTGGCTTATGGCTTTATGTGATAAGTTGTGCTGAGGTGCTCTTGTGGCAGATAAGAGGGAGTTATTGGGGTGGGGGGCAATGTAACTCGCTCAGGTTGCTATCATCATCCCTTCCTTAAGTGGTTCCCCATGAGAAACACAAGCAGGACCTTGAATAGATCTGCCCTGGATACATGTTTTTCTATGAAATTTTCATGTCTTTTGATGCTCCATAAAGCTTATCAGTTGAGGAGAAAAATAAAAATAAAAAAGTACTACTTGCTTCCAGGCTGCTTCAGTCAGAATTTTCACAAATGCAGGACTAAATCTATAATCCATCCTCCTCTTCCCATCCTTGGCACCTTATATGGCTCTATTCTTTTGTGAGCACTCCCAATCTGGGGATTCTCTCTTTTTTCACTGGAAACCTTGACAAAACAAAATTTTAAAGACCTACTCCTTTTAGGTTGACCAAAAAATGGTTGGTTAGGATTATATTACATTAGTATATGCAGTTTTCATCCATTTAATATTATAAATATGACATATGTGAGGGCTGTCGTGACTAATAATCAGCTCAGTATTCAATATTTTTGTCAAAGAGTTACCTGTTTGGTTTCTATGTAAATTCTTACCTCATTCAGACATGACAATTGTTAAATGCCAGAGATCTTCCTTTTTATCATCATTCTTTAATTTCTGTTAACTCTGAATATCAACTTGATAAGAAAAAAAAATATGAAGTTGGCATATTATCCAGTTATTTTTCCCCCAAAAAACCCTAAACAACAACAGATACTGCATTAAACTTAGTACAAATCTGAAAGCTATCCAACTCCAAACTTGCAGACGGCTATAACTTCTAAGTATTTCTTCCTAACACTGACTTCTAATAAAAAATACAGGATTGTCTACGAAGTTTTAAATCACAGATGTTATTTTTTTTAAATAATAGGTTGGTAATGTCCCTGAAAATTCTGATTTAAATGAGATCTTAGGGACAAATGTCATTTTAAGATTAAAACATGGTTCAAAATGTGAAAGACTTTAAAGGCTTACATTTTTGTGTGTAATTTGTACTATATATAGGTATATATCTATATATATAATTCTTTTTAATAATTTTACCAAGTATCATTATTTATTAACCAAAGTCCTCTATTTTAAGCCAGAGACTTCTACTATTTCATAACCAGATCTCTTTAACTAGATTTTTATCAAAACTTATATACTGAGATGATAATGTATTTTCTTGTAGAAGCAGTGGAAGACAGGTTATTACCAAACTTATTTAACCCAAGTTATAGATGATGGAAGGGATATCTGCAATGAAAAACAAACACAAAAAACAAATATTGCAATATTTATCATTCAATAAAAATAAATATGAAATGAACATGCTGAATGCTGGAAAAGTATATCAAATTAGATCAGGAGAAGAAATGTTCAGATGAAAACTGAAAATTATGGAGGGAAGTTCCAAAAACTTTCATTGGCCTTGGAAGTTGACAGTATAAGCACTTTATGTTTCTGCTTGTGCAGTGCCCAAGGGCTGCAAGTTTTCCTTTCTATTCTATGTTACTATAATTGATGCAAAATGCAAGACAATTTTAAAAAGTTAACAACTGCTTTTAGTAAGACTATTTTATTTTAAAATTTTTCAAAATATAAAAATAATAAACATTATGGATATTTAACAAACAAAACATAATTCAACTATAAATAATAAAAATGTTGACAACCTCACATAAACACGTAATACTATAAACATTCTAAGCATACAAGAGTAGTTTTCTAGTTCAAGTTTTACCATTTTCAGTTCAAGTTTTATTATCACTTTAAAAAATAAACAAAAAAAGCTGCTACAGCTTAACCAATTACTTTCGCTCCACTCAAAGAGCAGGGAATTTTTCCCCCATGCCAACACACATTCGTGAAATGGGATACTTATGGGCACAGGTATTAAAAACTGGAACAATCCAGTCTCCAGACAAGAAAGAACTCCTTTGGTGTTTTTCGGCTCAACAATCCACAGAAATTGAGTTAGACTAAACCACTATTAAAGGAAATCTTGTGCCAGACATGTTGTGAAGTAACATCATACCCAAAACAGGTTCAGGATTCTGAGAATCAAAAGTAAACATCTATGAATGCTTTGCTGATACTTAAAAATTGTATCTTAAGAACATTCACTAAGGTGCTGGAATGAAGTCTTGCAGATGTAGAAAACAATCTGCACATCAACACAAAACTTGTACAATGTAAATAATACATCTCTTTAGAACTTATCAAATGTTCTATAAATATTTAAGAATTACCCTGCCTCCTGTTGAGTAAAAGACAGATGGGAATTTAAAGCAGAACAGGATTACACCATATTTTAGGACTAGAAAAGTTTTCCATTTGAAATGTGGGAAAACTGAGCCATGCTGAATGTATCATTTTCTTTATTCTAGTCATATTAACACACCACTCCTTTTATCAAAAGAGCTAATGAAAAACTGAAGAAACTATTTTCTTTTGGGGAAGCTGGACACAAATTAGTATAATGTCATTCTCCATCTTATCTTTAAATTATGGGATGTTTCTAATTGGCTGGGCTCTTTACCCCACTCACCGCAGACCACTTTTATAATTATGCTGCTAGATTAGATTAAGTTATAAGCAATCATAGATTTAAGCCTAGCAAAGTCTAAATAACAGGTTGAAAAATGATATTGAAAGGTTTTGTAGCACCAATGACTTTTTCCTAAGACACTTGAGGGGCTGCATCACTTTAAAGTATTATTTATCTTGTAAACAAGACCAAAAATATTCAATTGATCTGTATTTTGAGCACAAATATTTATAAACTCTATTAAAAAAAAACAAATATAGCATGACTAGGGCAGCTGATAGTGTAAAATCTAAGTATATTGAAAAATATAAAGATATATAAAAGGCTTCCATAATGCAATCATGCAGAGGTAAACTGCTTCACTCAATTACACAAAAGTGATTCTGTACAGTTATCTACACATAGCTCCGTAAGAATCCTCTTCAGGAAAATAAAATAATGAAAATCCCTATTTTTAATTAATAAACATATGGGAACTCAAATATGTACCTGACCTACCAGATCTCACAGCGATTTTCAAAAAGTACAATGATCTCAATGAGAATTAAATCATCTCGACTTCTGATTCCCAATGGCATGTTCAATTTATTTTGTTTTTAATTTAAAAGCAAGGGGGGGGGAGGAAGATGACAAAATAAAATTGAGAGTGGTGGGATATGATCCACATCTATTAACCAACCAAAACTGTTAACAGCAAGTATGGTCCCTTCAGAGAATGTTTTTTGGGTTTTTAGCCCAGCAGGTTAGAACTATTCTATTACACAGGCAGAGAATCTTTCCTTAAAAAGAAAAAACTACTGAACTAATCTGGGAAAATATTTGTGAATTCCCAGCAACTATATGTTTGTTCGTAAATGTGAACTAAAAGAGAAGTCCAATTTTTGAAATGCCCTGTAGGCTATAAGGTCATAATTATGTTAAGAAGACCTTCCTTTAAACCAAGCCTACATTAACCATGCTGTCTCCAACTAACGTGGATCAAAATAGATAACTTACGTTATGTCTGACGGGTTCATTCTTTTTTTCATGAAGACAAATGCAATGCATACTCAAGAAAAAGTGCTTGCAGAATAGTTAACTTTGCACAAAAAGGTGAAAATATGAGCATGGCTGAATGGAACTAAAAAAAAAAAAGGGAGAAAAGAATCAAGTATAATTTGGACTTTTCTAAAGGAGTTGCTATCAAGTGTAACTTCCGACTTCTTAAATGCTAATGAGAATCTATGAAGGAATACTAAGAAATTAGTTCTCTGAAAACTTTATGGTGCCCATTATAAAGAGGGTATTTTGGGTGAATATTTAGAATAAAATTTAATCACACTCTTTATAAATAATTCCAAGCCATACTGCTTATAAATAAATGATACAGACATACACCTTTTAAGGCAGGGAAACTATAGTTTTAACAACGCTAGACACACAACACTATTTCCCCTTGCTTTTAAAATTGTCTTTGATATCTTGGTTGCAACTGAGGAAAATAAGGAAAAACTGTGTAAATTAGACATTTAATAGATATTTCTCAATATCTACAATCCACAGATCATTTTATACTACTTTAAAAGAAAGAAAATTATTTTCCTTGTTTACTTTGAAGAGTTAAGAATTTTTAAAAAATTATTTGGGTAAGTGGCCTTGGCAGCGACTTCAATAAGTATATTTAGAAGAAACAGGCAAGTTATCACCATGTGAAAAAAGTATTTTACTAATTGTTCAAAATTATTTTAAGTGACTATCCTAACTCCAGAAATGTATCCTAAAAACCCAGGAAAATTAAAGCCAAACCAAGGTTTAACTTTTTAATCATTTTCATCATTCTAAATTGTTCATGCTAATGAACATAGTATCATGGCTTTATAGACTTCCTAGACACAATTTCAATTTGGCCGAGACTGAAAACTTATCTCAGGTTAGGAAAACCAAGAGGATTTTCTTTTTTTTCCTTCTTAGACTGTTTAAAAATAAATGGCTATAAAGGGGAGAAAACATTTAAGAATAAGGTCAGACAAAGCACACAATCAGATTTACTTCTGGACTCAGATGTACCCTAAAAGAACTGTAAAGATAAAATGCTAATTATGGTACATGTAAACATCTATTCAAAATGATAAAGGGCAAACATAAAACGATAGTATCATATTATTATAACAGTCGTCTCCAGACAGGAACAGGTCTTGTTGTTGTAGTCACAAAGCTAAATTCAGGCAATGATGATCTCTCTCTGCTGGAAAAAGAGAAGACTATTAAAAAAAACTGTGAAAACAGTAAATAAATCTAAAAACTGAATCATACCATACACTGACCTCTAATTTTTTTTTAACATTAAATAAAATCTGAGAAAGGAATCAAAATGAAAGTTCCAGACAAATTTCACAAAGATCAGCCTTGGGTTAAAATGATTTAACAAAACTTCTCTGCATCATGCTTCACTGAAACATTAAGCTGCAAAGATCACAGCTCTGCAACATGGTTACGATCTAAAATTTTTGATTAGGAAATGTCATAACTGACCACATAGTAAATTTTTATCAGTGTGGGTTGGCAAAGTAGTAATTTTAAGAAATCACGAACAAATTCCAAAATATTGATATAAAATAAAAGCAAGAACAATTGTCTTAAGTTTCCCAAGGACTTCATTTCCTTAAACTCCATGTGATAACCATTTCATTCTTCAATCACACTATATGACATAAAATACTATACTAAGCATAATGATTAACAACAAAAGTAAATAAAAAGGAACATATCAAAATGAGACACTGCTTTGTATACAAAGGAAGACTAACTCGGATGATTGGGAAGATGAGAGGATGGATGAAGTAAAGTGACAGGGAGGGAGGGATGAGGAAAAAGCAAATATAATAAATTGATACAGAAAAGTAAAATAAAAATGCTTTTAATTATACTAAGTAATGAGTACATAATACTGATAAACTGCAAGAAAGTTATTAACCAAATTAGGAATTTTTCTACTGAACAAGTATGAAATTTTTCTTTGAACAAGTTTTCATTAGAAATTACTGAGTATGTCAGTCATGTTCACCAAGGTTTCTTCCTTTCTTAGGTCTTTTAGATAGCTATTTTCGAAGATAATCTGCTGTCATCTGATAGGTATACAATGATCAGAGAGAAAAAATCTCTTCTCTAAAAGCCTGTATGCTGTATACATACCTCGGAGCAACTAGCCAGTTCAAGAAGTTAACAAGAACAAGGTAGTTCCTGAGATCTGGGAAAAGGAAATTTTCTTTCTGCCTTACAGATACTGTATGCTGACAATTTATTCCTAGATTACATTTCTGCTTTAATTATATGGTTTTGGAAGAATGAGAAAAGCCCTGCAAAAGACCAAAAGGTGAACTAACCTAATAAGCCAGAATTTTATGCAGGACATTTTTGTTTTAAAAGGCTAAAAGACTTCTTGTAAGGGAAGAAAAAAGAAAATCTTACAAATATTTACATAAATTCTGGAAGGACTAAAACTGATTTTCTATAATTAGTTCACACTATAGGTAAGGGGAAAAAAGAAAGAAAATATAGACTGATAAAGTTTGTATAATATTCTACAATAGCCATTGATATTTCAACATACCAAACAAGCAACTGTTTGCCTTCTTTTTGTAACCCTTAGAACCAGTGATTAGTGTTCCAAGTAAGACTGAAAATACAGTCCCCATAAAACAGTTCTAGTAACAAGAAATTTCCTTCAATTAAGCTCAGCCATACTTTCTACAGGCAATCAGCTAAAACAGTGAAGTCTTATCTTTATAGTAAACTACTGTTTGATACATTTGATCATATTACAAAATAAAACAAGAGCTATGGAATACTCTCCCATTCATGCAACATGATTTCATTAAATGCTTGAGTACTGGTTAAATACTAAAATTAATTTTTAAATGTTACAATTATCCAATAACAGTTAAAGCAACACTGCTTACGTAGAGACATAAAATAGTGAGTGAAATATGTAAAATGACAACTCAACCATCCCTTGAGGTAATCCTAATCAATCTTTTAAACCAATGATACATAATTTCCTTCAATTTTTTTCCTGGAAAAAGTAGCTACCTACATCTCAATCCCTTTTTCACTCCCACCTCAGCCCAGATCTATACTACAGCAAAGAACTTGTTAGAACTGCAAAATTTAAAAGCGTGTATCAAGTTTTAGGTAGCATACTGTAATAAGAAAGAGTTTTAAACTTTAAGTTTGGAAGTGAAAGGAAAAGTTACAAGCAAGAAGAAAAAGTGTGAATACAGAAGTTAATCTACACTTCCCAGGTTAAAAGGAATTTAGGTAGCAAAGGCAAACATTTGGGAACACTGTATACAAAACTGTACCAAGACACACTGTATGAATTATCATAACCAAATCTAAGTTGTTTCCACTGATAAGATGATAGCAACAGCAACAACAGGTAGGGAGAATTGATATAGATATGTTAAATTGTTTTAGATCAAACACTAATATACTACCAGGGAAACTAAAGACGTGAAACGGACCTTAGAGATCATCTAGTCCAACCCCTTTCATTTTACAGACAAGGAAACAACCCTGGATAAGTTAAGAGACTTGTCTAAGGCCAGAGAGTCAAGTTACAGAGCTAGGAACCAAAAGCTAAATCTCTTAACCCTTGTCCAGTACTCTACACTAGCTCATCTTCGGATATAAAAAATTAATGGGATGGACTAGATTAGTGGCTCTTGACATTTCTATTCTTACACACTGACAGAAACCAAAAGGGGATTTTACTTCCTCAATGGACAACATTTAAAACTTCAAAATTTTAATAGCCTACTAATTGTTATGGAAATTCCACTAAGACTACTTGTATATTCCTCCATCAGTATTTGTAACCCCCACTGGTGCAATACTTAACAGTATCAATTGTTTACTAAGACGGTCCCAATGACTGAGAAGACCTTCAAGAGAGATTTTTAGAAAATTGATAAGAATTAACAAGGGAGGTAATTGTCACTCCATTGTTGGAGATTTAAATATGCATTCATCCATTAATTCATCCAACAAACAACTGAATGCCCACTATGAGCCAGGCTTTATGATAATCACTAGAGATAAAAAGATGAATAAGACATGGTCCCCTTCCTAGAGGAGCTTGTAATCTAGTGGGGAAGACAGACATATAAACCAGATAAATTATATTACAACATAAGTACTGTAACAGAGATATGAACAAAGTGCTGTGTTAAAAGGGATGGTTAAGGTATGAACTGGCTAATGACCAAGAAGTCTACTAATTTTGTGTAACAACTACCACATTTATTGTGAACACAATCTCATGCCCAATCAATAATTAGGAAAGAGGTAGCAATGTAGAGGTTTAAAAAAAAGTTGGCACTGAAATCAGAATGCCTGCAATTCAAATTTAGTCCTTCTACTTACTAGCTGTCACTTTGGGCAAGTCATTTCATCTCTATTAGCCTAAGTTTCCTTATCTGTAAAATGGGAATTAACAACTACTTCAAAGGGATATTTTAAGTTTTAAATGAGAACACATGAAAGTACATGTAGAGTACTAGTATTTATAAACATATGCATTAATTTGAAAAAATCCAATAGCAATTTCATACTACATAATATTTATAATTAAAATCATATTAATGATAATAAAAATATAATTATGGACCTAATGAATGTTGCTAATATTTAATCCCATACTGCAGGACCCTATCAAAACATACTTGTCTTCTGATTCATTCAAAGCAACATGGTGTAAAACCTATGAATTTTAGGTTACTACAGAATTTAAGATTAGGGAAAGTGATAAGCTATTTATGGGTTTAAGTAAATAGTATGTGATTTCAGTTACATTATAAGGGAATTTTACAATAATTGCAAAACATCATGCTAAAATTTACTAATCATATTATAAAGCCAAAAATCAGCATGGAGATTTAACTGGCCTTTGCAAGATTTTCTTTCTTTATAATACCTGTTTGGTGTAAAGAGAAGAAACGTGAGCCTCTGCCAATTTGGCATCTTTCACGACTACTAAAAAGAAAAGAAAACAAACTTACCTAATGAATCAGAATAGCACATAGTCAACATACAAGAGACTACAGCAAAATATATCACAGCTCTAAGTAAAGAAGTTTCAAGTAAAGTCACTATTTTGACAAAAGAAATCTGATAGTGAAATTTTAAATATAAACATGTGCATCAACTGCAAGCCAAAACATTCCTATGAAATATAATACCATCAAGAATATATATACAACTTTAATCCTAAGTGTGGGAAGAAAAGAAAAAGAGGAACAGCATCCACTAGCTACTCCACTGGCAAAAGACTATGGTGGTGAAATTACAGTCTGTGATTGTGAGGACCCCAGTATGGGAAGAAAGTAATTTTTTTATGTGACTTTTAATATAATCACTATATTCTCAGGAGGGGTAGAAACACTTGCAACCAAAAGGATAAACTGTAAAAGGTAAATATGTAATCTTCCACCCTCCATTCTACAAAGAATGCATTTATTTCCTGGAAACTGCTGTATCAACTTTCAATGATCATGTTCACTTGTCAGAGAAAGCCACTTAAAAATCACAATATTGTTGCAAATGTCAAAGATTTTTTATACAAGTATAGGAAATGCACACTTAAAATATCAGACTGGAACACTTACCAAACAGTGTTTTCCTAAAGTAGTATCTATAGTACATTTCTTTATTCATACATCTTCAAATGGTCAAGTTTTCTTTCATACATCCAAAATGTAATGTGATGTTTTCTTATTCACCAAATGTTAGCTCTACTTGAAGTCTGGTTCCAAACTAATCAGCCTGCTTTTAATTTAAGACATCTGTTGAAAGTTTATAGGATCAAACCAAACTGAAGTGGTATAAATTTTAAACAATGGATTGAACATTATTGTAAAGGTACTGGTAACCATTATTATTAAGAATAAGTTAGTGATTATAGCTCCTTTTGTGATAATTGGGGGGAAGGGTAGATCACCATCTGGAATGGTCTATTTATTTTAACTTTTTTTTCTTTTTTTTTTCTTTTTTTAAATCAAGGAACATTGTCTTTTTTTTTGTCATTGCTTTTTTCTTTTCTTTTCTTTTCAAGAGACCATTCCACTTTATTTTTAACATCTGAATGCATAAGGACTCAAATGCAAAGCAGTCATACACCGTTATCATTAAAACCCATATTGTAAAATACATACACAAGTCCAACAAAAGGCTAATACATAGTAAAGCCTAAGCATACTACTATGTAATATTATGAATACATAACTTGGAGACTTTAGTTAGAGTACTATGTTACCTACTCATTTTTGAAAACATTCATTAAGATCTTAAATGCAAATGCATTCCTTATTTGGAGTAAAACAAAATCCTCTAAGTTATAACAAGTATTGGTCATTAAGTCTTCAGACCTATTCATTAAATTACAAAGAACCCAAAGAATTCTGTAATGTTCAGTAGAAGTATGTAATAAAAACATTGCATATGTTTCTAGTGTGATGTCTTTACCAATTGTTTACTGAAATAAAACTCAAACATCAATCTTTCAAAATACAGGATTCAGAAGGTAGTTTTCTTTTCTTTTGTCTATTTGTGAAATCCATCTTCATCACATTTTACCAAAAATTGTTTTTACAAATATGTAAAAGTACATTAGATAATACTAATGAAACACAGGTAGAGTTCTATCATATGCAGATCAATGATCAGTCAAATCATCTTCTCCAAGAGCGAGATTCATTGTCCTCTTCTTCTTCATCATCATCTTGAAGTAATGAGTCATCCACCAAAGACTCTTCCTGAAACTTTAGGTTAAAATGCATTTAGGAATTTACCCAAAAAAAAAAAAAGAAAAGAAAAAAGGTGACACTTTTAAACACTGATTACTCTCAACAGAGTCGAATACAAAAGGTATTTCTATAGCTAGAACATTCAAGAAACAAAGAAAAGCAAACTCTACTCAATGGTTTCTCAATACTATCTATTCTATTGCTTGCATCAAATAGACTCTAAAAAAATATCAAAGTAATAAGCCTTTGTACATGCCGTTTCTCCTGCCTCTCTTTATCAAATTATGCCATCTTCTATACCTACAAAACATTGCTCCACACCTTTTTTTTGTTTTAAAGAAAACATCAATAAGTCTTCTCTGACACTAAATCAACCAACAACTTGAATAAAGTTTATCAATATTTATATTTCTTTTCTGCTGTATGTAACAAACATTTTCTTTTATAGCATTCTTTTCTTTTCCCCATTCCCTTCATAAAAGCTTCTCAGTCTACTTTTCAAACTTTTCAAAATACCTAATACCAGGAGCTCTCCTGCTTTTCTCCCCATTCAATTCAAACTCATGGAAGGACAAAGGTATAATCTAAAATATAAAATGACAAATCATGTATATGAGTTTCAAAATACACATTTTATTCTTGCATTTGACTATGGATATGTATAACAGCCTTGAATGCTCTTCAAACAAAATGAAGTGCCATTATAAAAATCTAACCAATTGTAAAACATGGAACCATTTAGTTTCCCCACCTTACCTTTCATTCCTTAACTTCCTCAACTTTTTCCTACAGCTTATTTCATGATTAAACAAAACAGAGTTGCTTATCTTTAGGTTTTTGGTTTCAAAGGGCTCTCCACTTCACTGTTCATGCTCTCACCTCTCAGCCATCAGACTACCTGCTGTTACCCAAGAAAAAATATACTCTTCCACACCTATACCTCTGCCATTTAAAATGCCTCTCTCAACTATACTCCCAGGCCCAGCTCTTGGTTATGAAGTTTTTTTTATCACTCAGGGTTCAGCTCCACTGCAACCACCTCCTTCAAGATTCTTCTGGAAAGAAACAATCACTCCTTCCTCTGGGTTCCCACAGCATATTGTTCAAATCTTTATTTACCATATCAGTCTGCCTTTTATTATAATTAGTTTCTTATGTGTCTGTCACCACCCCCTCTTCCATATTTTAAGCTCCTTGATAACAGGGACCGTGTCTTATTCATTTTTGTGCCTATCACAGTATCTACCATATAGCAGGCATTCATTCTAATGAACTAAAATGATATGAATTAAAATGAAACCTGAAATGTTAATAAAGCAACTGAATAGAATATATACTCTAAAACTTAAAATATCACAAGATTTCCTGTGGATAAAAATCTAATGAATAATTAATGTTTTCTAAGAGTAAATGAAAACTGAGTATATATATGATTTTCATATATTCTTTTTGGATTAGCAATCCACAGTTCTCATTAATACATAAAATTTAAAGTTGTCTGCATTTATCTGATATCCCCTGCCTGGAAGATGGCTCAGGAATAAAAGTTTTATGTTAAAATCACAGCCATAAAATCACATTTTATATAAAAACGTAAACATTTAAGGGTAAAAACAAGTGGAAAAAAAACATACTTCCTCTTCATCAGGTTCAACTTCTTCTGTTTCAACAGCTGAAATATTAGTTATTGGTTTATTCCAAGCCAGTTTTAGATCCTGCCCTTTGAAACGAGCTCCATGAACTGCAGCCTAAAACAATTAAGAACATTGGAATATAGAACATTAATAATTTGTGAAGAAAAAAATGAAATGTTATAGTACCTAATATTTAAACTAAATTAGCTAAACACAAGTGAAAGACAGTTGTGTATTTTTGCTTTGTGGTTTACTTCTTTATTTACTATTTATTATTGCAATTTATAATGTACTTTATATTGTTATTTACTTCTAAAATCAGCCTAGTGATTGTAAATTCCTTTATAAAAAGAAAACGGGAGCAATTTCTCATAATCGAGTAGAGCTATTTCACTACTGGCCAATATCTGACTAGAAGAACTATGTCTCCATGTCTACAGTAAAAGGATAACTGCTACTCAAGGCAACAATCTCAAAGCACTTCAAGATTCTGGCTGTAGATCTTAATTCTTGTTAATTCACAAATGGCTCATATAATAACTATAAACTAGAAACCTTTAACAAATATAAGAATAATTTTGCATGTGTATTTATTTTTAAATTACATCAAATAATCAAAAAATACCATAAAATGTCTGATGTATCACTATTACAAAATATAAATATCTCAATGAAGAAGAAAAAAACAAACAAACAAAAACCCTGAACTTTTCTATTGAAAACTAAAGCACTTCCCTACAAAGCTTTCAGACCTGCATATGGTAAAACTGAGTAAACAGTCAAGTCTAAGTACTTGTTACATTAAATGGCTGGTTTAGAAAGAATGCTTTCAAATTAAAGTAATGTGAACTAACATAAATCAATGTTAGCAACATACCAAAATAACTCATAGTCACAAAAGATTTATAGCACAATCTCAAAGTACAGCATAATGTGAAATGTAGAAACAATTACATGTTCAATGACATTTGACTATGAATTGCGTGATATTAAAGTCCCCAGGTATAAATTTTAAACCTGCACATATAAATTTATGATAAATTTAAAATATTTCATGCCTATTAAAATGCAGCTCAGGAGTTTTTAGTCCATGACCCCATCATGTCATATAACTAAAAATTTTTAAGTACATATATATAATATTTAAGGCCAGAAACAAATTGTAATCTTTTTGAAGCTATAACTGTTACATAAAAATATATTCCGGTAAGGAATTCCAATTGTCTCATGCAAAATGTCTACTCATAAAACTCATGTTTTCATCCAGCTAAAAAAGGCAAAAAATGTAAGTGATGTTTTTTTATAGTAAGTTCTTCAAAAATTTCTTATGGGACTTCCCTGGTGGTGCAGTGGTTAAGAATCCGCCTGACAATGCAGGGGACACGGGTTCGAGCCCTGGTCCGGGAAGAACCGACATGCCACGGAGCAACGAAGCCCATGCGCCACAACTACTGAGCCTGTGCTCTAGAGCCCACGAGCCACAACTACTGAAGCCTGCACGCCTAGAGCCATGCTCCGCAACAAGAGAAGCCACCATAATGATAAGCCTGTGCACCACAATGAAGAGTAGCCCCTGCTCGCCGCAACTAGAGAAAGCCTCCATGCAGCAACAAAGACCCAACACAGCCATACATACATAAATTTATTTAATTTGTTAAAAATTTCTTATGGCCTAATTTTGTAAATCTCTATATTTAGCACATACTTCAAATTTATAAGGTGAATCTACAACTCTCTAAAGTTTTAATTTTAAAATTATTTACTGGATGCTATCATCCAGGCTCTGTTGTTCCATTTACAGAGCATAGGCAGAGTAGATTTAGCATAAATCTAAGGGTCCTAGGATTTTCAGAATGCTAAATGAGCTCTGGTTTCAACTTCAAGTCATCTGCTACATTAGCTCCTCACAAGAGAGTCAGTCTGACCTTTGAAGCTTTGAAACCAGGCATTGACTTCTCCTCTCTAGCTATGAATGTCCTAGATGGCACCTTCTTCCAATATAAGGCTGTTTCATCTACACTGAAAATCTGTTGTTTACAGTAGCCACCTTCATTATCTTAGCAAGATCTTCTGGATGACGCACTGCAGCTTCTATATTGGCACTTCCATTTTTATATTATGGTGACAGCTTCTTTCCTTAAACCTCATGAACCAACCTCTGCTAGCTTCAAACTTTTCCTCTGAAGCTTCCTCATCTCTCTCAGCCTTCACAAAATTGAAGAGAGTTAAGGCTTTGCTCTGGATTAGACTTTGGCTTAAGGGGATGTTGTGGTTGGTTTGATATTCTATCCAGACCACTAAAATTTTCTCCATGTCAGCAATAAGGCTATCTCATATTCTTATCATTCATGTGTTCACTGGACTAGCACTTTCAATTTCCTTCAAGAACTTTTCCTTTGCATTCACAACTTGAATAACTGGTGCAAGAGGCCTAGCTTTCATCCTATCTTGGCTTTTGACATGCCTTCCTCACTAAGCTTAATCATTTCTAGCTTTTGATTTAAAGTGAGAGATGTGTGACTCTTCCTTTCACTTGAACACTTAGAGGCCATTGCAGGGTTATCAACTGGCCTCATTTCAATGTTGTTTTGTCTCAGGGAATAAGGAGGCCTGAGGAGAGGGAGAGAGATGGGGAATGACTGGTCAGTGGGAGCAGTCAGAACACACATTTATTGATTAAATTTGCTGTCTTATATGGGCATGGTTTGTGGTGCCCCTAAATAACCACAGATCACCAGAACAGATATAATAAAGAAGAAGCAAGTTTGGAATATTGCAAAAATTACCAAAATGTGATACATACAGTGAGCAAATGCTACTGGAAAAATGGCGCTGACAGACTTGCATAATGCAGGGCTGCCACAAACCTTCAATTTGTTAAAACAAACAAACAATATCTGCAAATTGCAGTAAAGCAAAGCACAATAAAACAAGGTATACCTGTATACGTGTGTGTATAAAAACCATATAGTACAGAATTAAATGGGAAATATCAGTAGGATATGTATGTATATGTACACGTGTCTATATGAACATATGCATTTTTTTCCCCACTCCCAGCTCTTACCACTGAAAAAGATTAGTTATAGTAACAAACTCAGTAGTAATGAGCATCTCTAGTACTCAGATTGTGGTCTTCAAATACCTTTCCCAGTAAAAAGAATCAGAGCTCCTTAGAGAAATGGCCAGTTCCTAGTCTGGAAGAGAAAATTTATAAGATGAACCTAGAACACCTTTTCATACCAGAAAGCAGAGAAAGTATCATAACCCACTAGAGTCCTGTCAAAAGAACTCAGGAACAAACCTATATACTAGCCACTAGCCAAAGATGGGACATCAATAACTGAGGACAATGGATCAATACCCATGAAATGTTTAAATCTATGAATTTATAATTCCACAATACCAATCAAGTTAAATCAAAATATGAATCTTATTCTGGATCCTTAAAGGAAGTAAGTAAAATATTTATAAGAAAACCAGAGAAATGTAAACACTGGTATTTGGTAATACTTAAGAAATATTAATCATTTTTAGGTACAATAATAGTATTATTTTTTTAAGGCTCTAATATCGAGAGAACAGGTTCAGTATAAACACTGAAAGGTTTACAGCTGAAATGATATGATGACTGGGAATGGTTCCAAAATAAGGAGGCAGAGGGTTGTTAGTGGGTGGAATACAGACAAAATAAGATTGGCCATAAGTAGATAATTGCTAAAGCTTGATGATGAGTGTGTAGAAGTTCATTTTACAATTTTCTCTCATTTCTATGCTTTGAAGTGTAAATAAAAAGTATGTTTAAAAGCTGAAGCATTTTATTCATAGGCTTGCTTTAGACATTTGCCTATTTAGTCTTGCACAGTCATTCAAAGTTTGCACCATATTAGGACGTAAGGAAAGCAGGCACAACCCAGTGACAGAAGAAAAAATTTTAAAAAAGGCTTTGAAGACCTGACAAATGAAGGAAGAAAAAAAAGTATGAAAAGTAGTTATGAGGTAGGTTCCATATCTTACATGGAAAATGATTCTGGAAACAAGTAACATCTGGAAAAGGCTGGATTAAGCAAAATTAAACAGGTGTGTTTGCCTTTTCAAGTCATTGAGATTATAATTCTAAATTGAATATACAAAATGCAGCTCTTCACAAATTTACTGACAAGAGAATCCTTTGCTAGAGGAGCTCCTATAGAACCAGTGTTCTGTAAAAACAATGTGGGGAAATCTGACCTAAGGCCAGAAGAGCTAAAGCTGCAAGCCTAGTGTACCTAACTTTTTTTTAGTAACCATAACGATAAAACTATCTATAAAAGAAGGTTAAAACCAAGCTTATTAATGTTTGTAATAACCACAGTATACAATGTTTAGGCAGAAGTTACATTAAAGGACCACAAAAACATGTAAATTCTGATTTTTAGAATTTATAGGGAAAGACTACATGGCCACTGTCTCACAAGCTTCAGACTTAGATTTACGAATTCTCATAGCACAGTGCCCATCACATAGCAGCACTTAATAACTATTAAGTAAATCAGCAAGAACACACACACAAAGACCTGGGAGATACATGATTTGATTTCTCTTGAATGAATCCACTTATACATTTACTTCTTGCTATAAATTTACTATTTACTCAGTCAGCCCCATCAGCTTCTACTCTTCATGCTGCACTATCCTCTATGAATCCAATTTTGTGCTTCTATCTTCAGGTCTAAAGAATGAGAGTTTTGAAATCACTCTATCTTGTTTGTATTCAGTTTCACTGATTTACCAATCAATTCTCATTCTTAAACATACACACACACACACAAATATTAAAAATAGCTAACATTAAGAGGGTTTACTATGTTCCAGGCACTGTTCTAAGTATACCTTACAAGTTCTGAGTCAGTGAATCCACACAACTACTGGGAATTCAGGCATGGGTGTCAAAAACGCACCAGTAGAACAAGATTCTTTCTTTGTGATATAAAAAGCTATATACCTTCTTTGAGTTTGGGACTGTAGAGTTTCATCTTTGGGACTGATTCTTATAAAACAGGAACTTAACTATTCCTATTCTAAAACTGGATCCTGGTTTCTTACAAAAGTATAGGAACAATTCAGAGTAGGAAAACTAACATTCTAACCAGTCATGGGAAGAGGTTACTTTTTTCTGTCCTGTTTGGGTACTTATGCACCTTTAGTACATTAGAGGTGGTGACAGACAAATTGGAAAACAGAAAATAAAGCAGTAGGATCCATCTTCTAACTAACCAGAATCAAACCTTAGCCATCTTAACCTAAAGCTAAAATGGTTCTGTTTATATTATTACTCCTTAAAATACTTCAATCTCTTTTCTGAGGAAAATTTCTTACTTTTCAGTCATATTTGAATGTCTTGATTATCTTATTCCTGTACTTTCCTTTGAAATATTATGCATCTATTGACTTAAGGAAATAGACATACATTCAGTCATCTAATACAATGATTCAGAAATTATGAACAATGAAATATTTGGAAATAAACATTAGCAAAGGTTTACAATTTTCTTTTCTTGGGAAGGACTATCCTTTACCTTGAGTTTATATCCACCTACATTTGGTATTAAATTTTTCTTTATTTTATATAATGATGGTACAATTTTTTTTGTACTTTTTAAGCATTCTTCCTTGACAAAATTAAACACTGGAAACCTAATGTCAAACACACTAGTTTTTAAATTCCTAAACCTCACTGTTCCCTAAAATCTAGAAGTTTGAAAAACACTATTTTAGCCTATATTCTGCTTGTATAAGATTAGCTTCAACTTAATTTTCTATCCTCTTCTAAAATAGAATGTTGCAAAATTTTAAGAAATTTTTTTGGCTTAAGGAAATGTTTAACAACTTCTATAACCTAATTCCAAATGTTTATCATAGCAATGGTAGTTGTTCCTTTTAGTCTGTTACGTAAATCCAACTAAAATGGTATTTACCCTGAGCTATCTGATGAGCTAACTCTCATCAGATCTAACTTAAGCTAAGTTATTCTGCCACTTATTCAACCTTCATATAATTCACTGTTAAAATCTTTCTTTATACATTAATCCCAGGTCTTTGAAATGACTGCTATTCATTTGGAAGATATATACATAGTATAAAAATATATATTAGAATTTACATCTGAGATAGAAAAAAGCAAAACCCAAGAAGATATATGTCAACAGGTCCTACTTACCAAAAGCAAAACATCCAACAATTATTTAAGAGGCAGGAGGGTTTTTGTTTTTGTTTTTCTCAGCCACATAAGTAAACAGGGACAAGTAGTAATATATATTTTTAAAGTAGTTACTAAATTCACAAACTTGGTAATACTGTAACCATTTGAACATAACAATTACCATTGTTTTATAACAATGGTAAATAGAACATAAAAAGATGGTACTCAAGCAACGTATCCAACATTACACTGAAAACTGTCACTGAAGCTGTCATTTAAAGGAGGCTCATTCTTAACTTATATTCAATAATACCTCTCAGAGAAAACTTGATCAAACATCTACTTTTTCAATATAACACATATACATATAAGCTTATAAGAAAGTTTTAAACTCTCATCAATTATAAATTACCTTTTATTTTCACAAAAGACCTTTAAATAGAAGATTTCTTAAAACTTAATAAAACTCTAGGATGAGGAATTCCTATTCTATAAAACTATCCACTACCCACCCACCTAACCCTGAAACTATGTTATTCTAGGGCCCAGTTAAACACTTTTCTGAGACTTATCAGACCAACAGTCTTTTTTATAGGCTGCAATGTGCCAAGAGCAACTCCTACCAGGTAAGTTCCCAGCAATGTACCAGCAGGGAGTATTCACTACAAAGAGAATAAATCAATTTAGAAGATTTTCAAAACTTATTTAGACCACAATCATCTTAAAACTTCTGAAAACCATCCTACTCTTTCATTCACATTAGGTTAACTGTTTGGAACGCTTAACGCGTTTTTCCAAGGTCAAAATGGTACATCTATTTCTCTACAATCTTGAACAAAGAATACATAGGGCTAAAAATGTTCCGATGAACCCGTTACACCTCGCACTCATTTTCCTTTTTTAAATCTTTTAAACCCAGAAGAAAGACAAGGCTGCATATACTTCTGGTCATTCTTTAGAAAGATAATTCAAGATACATATTTTAAGACAACTATACTAAAAGGACTCTAAAAGCTACCGCTATATATTCCTGTCTTGGGCAAAATGTTGTAGAGGCCTAGTTGCGGGTATGCTGAGCTACGAACACTGTAGGGTTCAGCCAACTGGGACTAGGAAGTAGCAGATGAGGGATGGTTAAGAAGAGCGGCCATCAGGATTCTATCTCCGCTTGTACCTTACCCCTCACCACTCATTCTGCCAAAGCAGACTTGTTCTGGGCCAGCTGAGAAAGGGATAATGGAAAGTGGAGTGGCCCTATCTCCTGTGAAAGAGAATGGAAGAATTCCTGATGTCTCAAGAGAGTACAACTTGACATTCAACTTGGTGATTAACTATATATTCTAAATATTCATGTTATATATAAAACTGCCTAACTGCTTTAGGACATTCTTTGTAGCCATGAATTCCACTTCCTATGGTCTATCTACTGTCACAGTGTAGTTCTTTAGTAAGTCAAAAAAAATTCATTTATATTAAAACTTAGAGGCAATATTTATAGAACATTTAAATCTGAATTTTAATAAATTAGAATATTTATAATACTTACTGCTTCAGCTTCTGCTCGTGTCTTGAATGTAATTACTGCATGAAGTGAAGAGTCATCAATCTGACAATCTTCAATTTCACCATATTGCTTTAAATTAAAAAAAAGTATTTCCTCCAAATAAATATTTTGAAACATCCAAAATCCCAATGGTTTTTAAAATATTAAGACACCAATAAATATAACCCAGAATGCATAACAATTCAGGGTGATTAGCAGAAAGAAATTATGAATAATTCATTTTAGGACGTAATATTGTATGATAAAGGGTGTTCCTATTTTCCAATATTATTTACAATTCTATACTTTCTAGAACCAGGGTAACTTACACTTGATTGAACTATTCTTTAAATAGGGAAACAATGGTGAAAGATTGAGCTTCCTTATTGCCATTCCTTCTATACTAATTATTCCAATTCCAGAGTATGTTAAATTCTTTCTAAAGCAGAATATTTAATCCTCAGAATACTGTGTGAGTTTTTTGTATCATTCCCAATTTAAAGATGGGGGGGGGTTCAGAGAATTTAAGTAATTTTTCCAAAGTAACTAAGTTAATTACCAGGATGAGAGTCCAGTTTTCCACTCAAAAGTTTTCGATTCAAAACTTTAATTGACCCTGCTTTTACTCTTACTTTACCCTCCTCTAGACCACACTCTTTTAGGACATTTAAAAGCTAAACATATTAAATTATGCTTGTTTTGGGTGTGCTGGATTTTATTTTTCCCTGTGTAGGAAGATTTTTCTGCAAACAGCAGAAAACAGCACCTTTATCACATAAAACTTTAGTCCTTTATATATCATTACTAATACCTCCTTATTTCTTAGCCCCAAATAAAATTATAACCACAATCTCATTAAATACACACACTCCACACAGAAAAATTCTGTAGGGCATAGTAAAGAAAACGACCACAGAATCAGTCAGATCCCAGCTCTGTTAGTACTAGCTGTGTAAACTCGAACAAGTTACTTACTCTCTTCATGCTTCATTTTCCCAATCTCTAAAATAAGCATAATAAAGGTACCTACCTCATAGAGTTGTCAAAATAACTCATAATATGGTGAGTTATATAAAAAGCATTCAGAAAAATACCTGCCACAAAATAAGTGCTCTGTAAGTTTTAGCTGTAATGTTTATTACTGCTACTGGTTCCAATGGATAAATTAAAGAAAGCATTTTGTTAATCACAATTTGTAACCGTCAATGATCCTTTAGTAATGTAGATTTTTTTCTCTGATACCTGTCATATGTTCAAATCACAGGTTGAGATAGATAAGCTATCTTAAAGACTGGCAATTTTTTAAATGTGCATTACCACTACTAACTTTGAGAAGAGTTCGAATCTCCAAATACATCCAAGAATATCCATTTAGAGGCTCTGACTGTTTCTAAAACCAAAACCATTTCAGTCTCATCAAAACACATTCCTAAACTCACCTTGTTTGTCTGGATTATTTGAGCATATCCTTTGATAATTTCCTGATTAGCTGTATAACGATATGTAGTACACCTAAGTTATCTGGATCTCCTTCCCCTTGGGAAGGTGCAGAAACAGGGTGTGTAGTAGGGAAGAATCGAGCTACAGTTATTTCCAAGCTAGAAAGCTGATTCCTTATTTTCTCCCTTTGAAGCCATAAAGCAGAATACTTTCCAGACTCACCATCCTTAAATATTAATCATTTTAGTTATTTCTTAAACATATACCATTTCTTTCAATACCTCTCTATGTCCTGAAAAAGTATAGTTTTACATTTGTAACTGCAGTTAACAGTCTGGAATATAACTGTCAAATATTTAAATCTGAATATTCAAAATGTTAAATTATTTGTGTACCTATCTATAAGCTTACCTATCCCTCAAGACCCAAGCTCCAGCTTTACTACCTCTTGAAACTTTCCTCTACTGTTCTTTCACCATCATATGTCTGTGTGAAAAATACTTCTCTAAGTTACTGAAGTATTTATAGTTTTTAATAAATTTAACTAGATTTTAAATTATTTGTAGTTTAACTGGTTTGTGTTAAACCATTATATGTAAAATCCTTGAGGGTAAAGAACTGGTTATTTACTTTATATCTCCAGAGCAATTACTCTAATGCTGCAGGCAAGACCAATGCTTAGTAACTAACCTTTGGGATACCACTAAGAATCATAACATTTAAGTTGAAAAGGGCTTTAGGCAGATATGATCTCCATTCTGCACATGAACCCAACAGATCCCAGGAAATCCAAGTAAAATAATGGATTAGCAGGGACTAGAATCTTATTCTCCTTCCTCATAGAAGGAAATCCATTGCAATTAGACTGACTCCCTTTAATTATACCCTGGCACCAAATAAGGCAATGTCAAGATCGTATTCCAAAATTTTGTCTTGTGTCATTTCTAGGTTAGCTAGGTCAAGAATACAGTATTAACAAATAAAATTCCATCTTAATTTTTAAAAATCTGGATGGCCCATGCAACATGTTAAATTTTTCCTAAAAGTAAATATCAAATGAAACTAAACGATAGGACTTCCCTCTCTGAAACAATAAGGTCTAAATCATTCCTTTCATAATCTGAAGGCCTACTAAGTGTAAGAATAGTAACATTTCTTCCAATGATTAAACAAAAAACCACTAGAGCTTGTTTTTTAAGTAATTAACAAAGGATTATTATAGATTAATCAAAACCTTTCGTGAGATTAATGGGCTTAAATTATTCATTTCATTTTCATACTTTCCCTTTAATATCCATTATCCCCAACAATGATTATCAGTATTTGTTTTGTTGGACAGTAAGAAAGTACCGCAAAATGAGGAAGAAGATCTTCTCTATCACTCTCTGTAAATGCAGAAATCTCCAATGCCCTGGGACGGTGATCCACCACAGCATGACCAGGCACACCTCGACCTCGACCTCGACCCCTGCCTCGGCCGTGAGCTGCCCCTCGACCTCTTGAATGAATTCCTCTACCACGACCAGATGAGAGAATCCCCCGTTTCGCAGCCTAGAAGAGATTAGACAAATAGGTTAAACATTACAATTACTAACACGAGCCAAGTGTTATACTCAGTCAGATGAGTCATACAATCTGACATGAGTTATACAATTTGATACATATTTACATATTCAAATAATGCCCTACAAAAGGATTGCATAATTTAAGTTAGGGTTTTAGTTTCTAAAGTGAAAAAAAATTTAGACAGCTAATGAATTTAGAAAACAAAGTAACATTAATTTAAGCAATGTTTTGAAATTAATAAATGTGCCTTTTCTACTAAGCCCCTACTAAGACATCAAACTATATCACAAAAAGACCAGCAATTCTTGAGTTCCAAATAAGGCCCAGAGCTGAATGTTACTTCAAAAGTTAGTATAGGGACTTCCCTGGTGGTGCAGTGGTTAAGAAACCTCCTGCTAATGCAGGGGACACAGGTGCAAGCCCTGGTCCGGGGAGATCCTACATGCCACGGAGCAACTAAGCCCGTGCACCACAACTACTGAGCCTGCGCTCTAGAGCCCGCGAGCAACAACTACTGAGCCCGTGTGCCAAAACTACTGAAGCCCACGTGCCTATAGCCTGTGCTCCACAACAAGAGAAGTCACCGCAATGAGAAGCCCGTGCACCACAACAAAGAGTAGCCCCTGCTCGCCGCAACTAGAGAAAGCCCGGGTGCAGCAACAAAGACCCAACGCAGCCAAAAATAAACAAATAAATAAATCTATTAAAAAAAAAGAAGTTAGCATAATGTAGACATACAAGATACCTATATATATAAGTGTATTTTTTCTAGTTATGGCTTTCAAATACAGTGTTTCCATTTGTTTGCCTGTTGACTTCAATATGTACAGTTATTTCAAATTCATCATTTTGATCATTTACACTAACACCATCATACAACCAATGTAGCATAGTAACATATTCCACTTTATCGCTCTATATGAATAGCACACCATTCCTTCATTCCACAAATATTTAATGAGCACTTCCTGTGATCTAGTCTTTACCCTCATGAAGCTCAAATCCTAAAAGGGTAGAGACATTAAGCAATCTAGTTATTTGATTATATTAATGAGAAGTGATTCAAAAAATGAAGAAATGCTCTACTTAAAGATTTAAATAGATTAAAGATCTGCAATGAATAAACTACTAGAATAAAAGTTCCATGAGGAATTTTTTTCCTTGTTTTACTCTCTACTTTATCCCCAGCACCTAAAATAGCAGCTAGCAGATTGTAGAAACTTAGTTATTTGTTCAGTGCATCAAAGAAGGTACAAAGAACAAGCAAGGTAAGGGTGAGGGGTGGGGGTTAGAGCATGAACAAAGGAACCAAGGCTGAAAGGAACTTGGTACTTCTAAGAAGGAATAAAATCCAGTACAGCTGGACCACATGTGATGAAGAGATGAGGCTAGAGAGACAGGCAGAGCCAGATAATGAACAACTTTAAGAACCACGTTAAAGACTTTGATTTTATCCCAAGAGCCATGAAAATCAATTAAAACATCTAAAGTTCAGATGTAGGGTGATGTAATCAAATCAGTGTTTAAAATATTATTCTGGTAAAAGGAAAAGAGAACAAGCTGGGAAACCAGTCAGGCTACTACAATAGTGCCAACAACTGAAGATAGAAGCTTAGTCTACAATGGTGGCCATGGAGATAGAAGTAAAATAAACACATTTAAGACATACTGAGGAGGCTTCCCTGGTGGCGCAGTGGTTAAGAATCCACCTGCCAATGCAGGGGACATGGGTTCATGCCCTGGTCTGGGAAGAATCCACATGCCGCGGAGCAACTAAGCCCGTGTGCCACAGCTACTGAGCCTGCGCTCTACAGCCTGTGAGCCACAACTACTCAGCCTACGAGCCACAACTACTGAAGCCCGCGTGCCTAGAGCCCATGCTCTGCAACAAGAGCCCGTGCTCTGCAACAAGAGAAGCCACTGAAATGAGAAGCCCGCACACTGCAATGAAGAGTAGCCCCTGGTCACCGCAATTAGAGAAAGCCTGCGCATAGCAACGAAGACCCAACGCAGCCAAAAATTAATTGATTAACTAAGAAAAAAAAAGATACACTGGGGAGTAATATGTATAAAACTTGGTAATTAAATGTGTATGAATACTGAAGGAAAGGGAGAAATCAATGATGACTCCCAGATTTCTGGCTTGGGTAATTGTGTAGATGAGTTTAGGGACAAAATAAGCACAATTTTGAACATGTTGAGCCTGAGGATGTGAGACATCCAAGTGAAAATGTCAAGCAGGCACCACTGCCAAAATCTCTGCAAGTATAAATATTTTAGTTTATTCATCTCAAGACAGTTAATTTTAACATTAGCTAAAGTAATCATCTAAAATCCAAATAAAAAACTTCAGAGGTCAAGGAGTAATGTCAATAACAGCACAGCATATACAAAAGTATACTCTTAGGAACTTCAAAATACTCCTTAAAAAAGGGGTCCCTGGACAAGTAAGTTTGAGCAATACTGGGTATTTAAACATGTGTTTTTGGAGATTCACAAATTACAAGCCTCTAGAAAACCATATACAAAACAAATGTTTACACATACACTGCCAAATGTAAAATAGATAGCTAGTGGGAAGCAGCTGCATAGCACAGGGAGATCAGCTCGGTGTTTTGTGTCCACCTAGAGGGGTGGGATAGGGAGGGTAGGAGGGAGACGCAAGAGGGAGGAGATATGGGGATGTACGTATACGTATAGCTGGTTCACTTCGTTATACAGCAGAAACTAACACACCACTGTAAAGCAATTATACTCCAATAAAGATGTTAAAAAAAATTAAAAATAGAATGTGGGAAAAAAAAACATATGTTTACTATAACCTCTTCCAAACTTATTTGGCCTCAAAAGCTTTTTTCACTAATACCTATTAACAAAATATGGAATTGATGTGGTGAATGAACACACTCTGGCAAACACTGCATTACTGCATATACTAATATTAATTGCAAACTAAAGTTTGGCCATCATAAAAGAAAAACAGAAGATGTCATTCAGTGTTTAGCTATATCATGATAAGAATGAAAACATGGACTAATACTATAAAGAATATTAGTAATACTATTATTTATTTGCTAAAATTATGGGCCAAAATTTTAAAAATGATAATGTATTTTTTTAAAGTCGCATCAACACAGGCATGAAATCTCCAGAATGGTGAAAACACAATTTCTATATTAACATAAAAGGAACCTATCTTTTCCAAAACTTGTTATCTTAGGCAGGACACACAGACAACCATATCAGTTTTCCAGAGAACGCAAAATATATGCAGGTTTAATATACCATCCTATGGCTTCCCATGACAGACAAGACAGAGCCTTAAGACAAGAACAATGGCTGCTAAATGTTAAGGTCTTTAATAGCTGGATACCAGTACTCAATACAGATTTCTACTATGTTGGAAAAAGAAAATCAAGTTGCTAACGAATTTGGAAAAAAAGGATTATTTTCAGATTAAGCAAAAGGAATAAGCTAAAATACAAAAAATTAAATTGTGGCAACGATAAATATAGACAAGTACCAACTACACTAATGACATAAATGTCCCTGTACTTCAAAATGTAATTCTGATTCTTAAACATATTTTTGCTAAATGTTAAAAATTCTCATGTATAGAGATCAATTTTACTAGATTTTTCTTATATAATCATATAACTAAATTATAAGAAGTTAGTTTTTTTCTCTTTAACATCCACAGCACCATCTATAGGCACAACTTAAGTAAGCATGTTCTTCAATATAATTCTACCACTAAAAGTCTGATCCTTATAGGAACTCAACGTAACATGCCTATATATGCACAGAATATCTCCCTAAGAATAAATGAAAAGCCTTTAATAGATTTTGGTCCTAGGAAGAAAAACAAACCGAAAATAGAAAAGGAACAAAATTCACTAGAAGTAGAGGGACTTGTGTATAAAAGTAGAATGGCTATCATCCCTCATTAAATACTAAGAGATTTTCTATTAGCTCTGAAAGATTTGTTAACCTCTTCCCTCTTTTCTACATCAACTTCCAACATACTAACGACTGTTGACCAGAATGAGAGGAATGTATTTTCAAATAAACCATCAAGACTGTAACTACTCCTCTTTAGCGTACTGTGTGGCTATCATGAAACGTACCTCCAGCTGTAATTCGGTATACTTTCTCCTAAGTTCAGTGACTTCTTCTCCAGCTTGCATCTTCTTATATAAATCCAGTTCTGTGTCAAGTAATTCTTTCTGCATCTAGAAAATAGTAATAAATATTTTAGGTGATGACAATCAATATCCTGCATTTATACAAAACTTTTTACAAAGAATTTTTTACACATTCTCATTTAATCCGTACATTTCTTCTCTATCTCCAGTCCTACCATCCTAGTTCAAGCCACCAGTCACCTCTGGTCTACACTACTGCAACAGCTTTCTAACTTGTTCCTACTTCCACTGATTTCCCTATAATTCATTTTCCAGACAGAAGCCAGAGTGAGATTTCTACTGACTGATATGGAGTAATTTTCAGGAAATAACTGAAAAGGAAAGCAAAACACCAAGGTGTTAATGAGGAATATACAGTACGCTTTTACGTAAGAAAGAATACATACACACACACCAAGAGGGAGGGAAGAGTGGGGAACAGAGTGTCAGGGCTCAAAGGGGGAATGGTTGTTTATATAAACCTTTTTATATAGTATAACTTTTGAATCATGTTAATGTTTTACTTATTCAAAAAATAAAATTAAATCAGCAAGAATGACAGGGAGAGCGATCCAAAACTGAATACAGACAGAAATAAACCAAACTTTATCAAATTAATAACATAACCACACGAACGGAAAAACACATGATCCTACACCACGGGTCTGACTCTATACTCTTAGTGGAGTATATTATGAGGTTGTAAAGAATGCAAACAAATTCTTAATTTTATATTTAGTTAGTTGTTGGAAGTGGTATTGTTTTAGCAATTCTGGAACTATTCGAATGGATTACAGGACTGTGCAAACGTATACTGTATTGATGTTAGTGGGAACCAAGTTGTCATCATGGGAACAGGGAGATATGGCCTAAGAGAAAGAAAAGAAGAATGCTGTGGTATTAGATTAGAATGAGAAATATCAATATAAACTCATAATTTTATATATATATATATACACACACACATATATACATACACACACACACAACAAATACACACATACACACACACTAAGTATAAGTATTGTATAACTCCACGGGTTTTTTTAAAATCACTTATTGTCATCTGAAATTAACTTGCTCACTTTTTTGTATCTAATCAGTTAATCTACCTGAATTTTCTCCCTTTCAATCATTCATTCTGGAGACTTCACTGGTGGCACAGTGGTTAAAGAATCTGCCTGCCAATGCAGGGGACATGGGTTCGGGACATGGTCCGGGAAGATCCTACATGCCGCATAGCAATGAAGCCCATGTGCCACAACTACTGAGCCTGTGCTCTAGAGCCCGCGAGCCACAACTACTGAGCCCGTGTGCCACAACTACTGAAGCCTGCGCACCTAGAGCCCGTGCTCTGCAACAAGAGAAGCCACTGCAACGAGAAGCCCACGCACAACGAAGAGTATCTCCCGCTCGCCGCAACTAGAGAAAGCCCGTGTGCAGCAATGAAGACCCAATGCAGCCAAAAAATAAAAATAAATAAATAAATTTATTAAAAGAAAATATCATTCATTCTGTACAGTGACATCAGATTGGCACTTCTCTGTTCATTAATATTTTATGCCACCAATTACTTACAAAATAAAACTCAAACTCCTCAGTCAAGCATCCAGTACCTATATCGTTTTGTCCTCTAGCTACCTTTTTAAGATTATCCATAACTATTTGTCTAATTACTAACGTTCTAACTACAACTGACTTTCTAACTACAATGTGCAGGGTTCAAAAGATGAGTAGAGTTTGCTTGTTTGTGTTTATTTACTTATTAATTACTAGAGAAGGAGAAGAATGGTAGTATATAATGATCAAATTTTGAGCAAAGAATATTAGCTAAAGGAAAACTGAATCTTAAATAATGTAGTGTTTTAATGTTCTTTTAACAAGTAGTAATATGAATAACAATACAAATTGAAATACCTGAGTCTTGGTTTTTATACTTTTTGGAAGACAGCGTCCAGGAGAAGCAGCCTTGACCTCATCTTTCAACTTGGTAATATTTTTTGTCAAAATCTCTAAAGTCTTCATTATTTCTGCTTTATCTTCAGACTTCATTGCTTTGTTTTTCTCCAGTTTTGAAATTAACATCTGGCAAATTTTTAAAAACAAATATATGACACATTCCTACTATTATTTAAAAAGCAAACATGGCAAAGTAAATATAAATAACTGCTACTTTTAGTTTATGTATTCATGACAAGGCTTACAATCACTGAGATAGCAGAATAGCAGATTGGTGATGCTAACTATCTCAATTCAAGTCTTAATCTTGGTTTACGTTGTGAAGAACTATATTACTACTTAAGTCTCTTAGAACATAAGTTCAAAGCATACAACCACAAGAAATTTAATTCAATCCCTGAAAAGTTGTCATTTTGAAATAGCAACAATCTTACTTTCTAATCCACTTGCTGATATTACTGATCCTAAGTATTCCCACTCCAAACATAGTCCGTAACCCAGAAAGAATCAGAGGAAAAGTTTTACGGTTTCCCTCCATATGATATTAGAAAAATGGCATATTTAGTTACTTACTTTCTTTGTCAGAGGGAACAGTAACTGGCTAGGCTAAGAACAATATGCCCAACATAGATAGGAAGTAAGAAGATAAACATGGTAATATGGAGAAGACATCACAAAGTATTCTAGGTTCTCTGAGTCAAGATGGTTTCAGTTTTGGTTGTAAAGCATTGTGATGTCTCTTTATCAAGTACATACAAATTTAAATTAGAAAAGACATACATTTTAAACCAAAAGGTTTAAAAAGTTTGTGTATTTTCAATATTTTCAAGTGTCATAACTTTTATTACCAGACATAATCAAGAACTGACACTAATTAAATGCCATAACTAGAGCAACACTGTACAAAAGAAATACTGCAAGCCACATAATTTTTAATTTTCTAGCAGCCACCTTACAAAGATAAAAGAGATACATTAAAGTTAATTAAATACATATTCTATTTAACTCATTTTATCAAAAGTAACATTTCAACAAAAATTACTGGGATGTTTTACCATTTTTCTTCATACTACGTGCTTGAAATCTGGTATGTATTTTACACTTACAGCACATGTCAATTTGGATTAGACACATTTCAAGTACCTGATAGTCAGATGTGGCTCTTAGCTGCTGTACCAGACAACATAGGACTAGAGGATCACAAGCCAATTAAAGTACATACGTCAACAATGAGAAAAAGGTTCCATTTACTATCTATTGAACTACTGTGCAGCAACATACCTGGATAAATATTCCTTATTTTCATTTCAAGTTGATAGTCATAGCTCCATTTAAACTAATCCATTTCCCAGTCCACTGTGCAATGTATATTACACAATGTAATACACTTCATCACCAACATTTTATCAATTAATATATACATTATTATTGATAAATATTTCAGTTTTACCATTATCAATTACAGTAAATATATTTCTCAGGACTATCTATAGAGTGTAAGATTAAATTCACTAAAAATTATGACACTTATAAATATATTTTGCCAAATCTAACTTTAATATTTTACCTTCTGTGTTTCAATGTGCTTTTCTAAAATTTCTTGTTTTCTTTTCCTTACATCCTGCTGAAGTTTCAGTGCCTCCTAGAGAAGGGATCAAAAATATTATTAGAATATTTACCATGTACCTTTCCGATAAATGGAATTACCCAAGAAGACAGAACTGGTTGTAACTGAAGAAGCTTGGCAACAAAAATGAAATGCAAAGTTTTCCTACGTAAAGCTTAAATAAGTACACAAGTTTCAAAAATCAATCAGGAGAGCCTTTCATTCCAAGACGAAAATTAATATTTACTAATATACTAGGGAAAATAAAAGTTCAGTGGCAGCCAACATATACCTTTCTTTTAGCTCTATTTTATGATAAGCACTGAAAAAACACATACATGCAGAAAAGCTTCCCGACCTGCAAATTCTGTACACTACTATACTTACCTGTTTTTTTTTCTGTGCTTCATTATTATCAACTGCAGAGGTGGAAACAAGTAAGGTTTTTTGTGCAGCCTTCAAAGCAGCTGGATTATACACCGTTTTTGTTAGGCCAGTAGATGTAGACAACACCTACCAATACAAATTCAATTTCTCAAAAAATGTATCAAGCATTCATGATTTCCTGAGTACTATTTCCTTCAAAACTCTAAAGCACTCCTGTCAAAATCTACCACACTGAACTAAAAGTATTATATATTTGTAATAACTAAGTCACATTAGTGATTTGAAAGAAAGGGTTTGAGTGAGGGATAAACTATAAAGTGAAAAATTTTTTAATTAACACCATATACCTTTAGAAGAAAAGCAAAAAGCAAACATACAAAAACTTCAAATCAATAAAAAACACTGCCATTACTGTATCACTGAGAAAATATTAGTTGTTGAATACATTACTAGTATTCCTAGTGACTAAAGCAAAAACTGTACACAAGAACACAGCACAGGAGGAAATCAGACACTGTCCTGCAAACAATTTAAAATGATCATTTGTAACTTACATTTCTGAAATTAACCTTATTGCTTTCTCTCTCCATTCCTTTGCTAGCACTGCTCCTACTTTAAGTGACCTTATTCCCTTAAACTCAGCTCAGGTTCGCAACAACCACTCCAGACCTCCACAAAGCTCTAATCATTTCTTCTACCTAGGTCCTTCGATGAAATATTATTCCTATTAAAATATTTAGTAAAAATGACCTGATGACATATTAATTTATTTTATATCTCTCTCCCTATCTTCACTGTAAGAGCCCTGAAACAAAAAAAACATATCTTTCTCCTCTTTGTGCTTCTTCTAGTACCTAAACCTTACTACCAACTAATTATGAGACAATGGGTAAATTCAGGTACCTTCTTGGGCCTCAGTTTGCTCATTAAATAAGAAGTTCAACCTGATGGTGCCTAATGTCCTCACAAACCCAAAAATTCATTCCATGAGGGTAGGGATTTTTTTGCTTGGTTCACTGCTTTACCTTCAGTGCCTAGAACAGCACCGGGGCACACAGCAAATACTCAATAAACACTTTTGCACCAAGTTAAAATGAAATGATGGTAGATCAGAGAGGATAATCTTTTCCACACAAAGGTCAATTTAAGAAAATTAAAGTGTATAGGCTGCCTTTTTTATCCTCCAAAAGCAGAAAGTTGTAGGTTCCAAAGAGTGGTTGGTTACTGGTTCTTGGAAAGGAGTTTAGAGATCCCTTCAAAGAGAGCTATGAATGCTATAAAATCTAAACATGAAACCATGTGTGTGAAGAGTGTAACTTCCCAGAGGAAAAAACATAGTTTCCAAAGTCTTAAAGGAGTTCATGACCTAAAAGAGGTTAGAAGAACTACATAAATAGAAGAGTATCAATGAGAAAAAGAGCACTACTTTCTCGGTACTAAAATGTAAATAACTGGGTATATCAGAGAAGTAGCAATCTGGACAATACTTTCTAATCTTTTATCATGAAATTAGATTAGGGAACATCACAAAGCTTAGGCAACTCATCACTATTCTAAGTATCCAAGAATGTCTTAGCCTCTAAATGAAATAAAAACCTAGAATACTGTAATTACACTAGTTCCATATAGCACAGCTGATGTTTAAAAATAAAGGTTCTTTACAATAGTTGATGTGTATCAAACTTTGATAATTTTCTTCAATAATGAAAATACTTAAGATATCACTAACAAGTATGAAATGGTTGCATTCAGTAAAATATAAAGTAGACACAGATTTAGTTCATAGTCTAACTTGTCACATTCTCTGTAATTCTAGAGGAAAAGTTATTCCATGCTACCTTACCACACCATACAATGTCAAACTACGATTATACAGGGTGAGATAATAACTTTATAAAGGGAGAAACGCAAGATAATCTGCAGAAGAAAGAGACTGTTTATAAACTGTTTTCGTCATGATGGTTCCATAACAAGTTGAACAGTTGTGACCAAAACAGGATTTCTATACTCAAATAAAGTTGGAAACAATATCATAACCCTACTTTCTAGTTTCAAAATGTATATTATCGTAAGAGCTGTGAAAAAGCCAGAAGTAAAGAAACCCATATAATTTGTTTAATTCAGCATTTCTCCAATTTCAGTGAGTAGGGAACACTCCCTTTCCAAGTACTGTTATTAATACCAGGTATCACACTAAGGATTGCTGTTGCAAGGTGAATAAAAGTATATGATAGGGCTTTCCTGGTGGCACAGTGGTTGAGAGTCCACCTGCCAATGCAGGGGACACGGGTTCGTGCCCTGGTCCAGGAAGATCCCACGTACCGCAGGGTGGCTAGGCCCGTGAGCCATGGCCGCTGGGCCTGCGCGTCCGGAGCCTGTGCTCCGCAATGGGAAGGGCCGCGGCGGTAAGAGGCCCGCATACCACAAAAAAAAAAAAAAGTATATGATAACAGTAAGAAGACTCCTTTATTGCTACAAGCATCTTACTTCCTTGTTTTTTCCAGGAACTTCCTTCTGTAAAAACAGAACATCAGCTAACATATTTCACTGAGCTTAAGATATCACTTCCTAGGAGACACACTGTCATTTAATATAACCCTACTAAAGGAAAAGGCTGCCAATTATAATCATAAATACCAACAACTATAAGATGTAGCCCAATTTCAGAGGTGTAAAAATGTGAAAATAAAATGTCTTAGAAACAGTGAACTATATGATTACAAATATTGCTCACTATCTGAATCTATTAGGTTCCAGAGTTTAGACAGTAAGAGTTTGAATAACAAGAAATATCTGTATTTTTCGAAAGATGAGGATAGAGTTGTCACAAAAGAGAAGAAAGTAACGAACCCAAAAGAAAAGATGATGCTACGATTCTAAGAATATAATAAAAACATAGTGGTCTTTCTAAACAACCACACCTCTATTTTCCAAAATGGTTTCTGCATGTGCTGTATTTTTACATATTGACCTTATTTCCAGTGACCTTACTGTATTCACTTATTAATTCCAATCGCCTGTGAATTCTTTTGGATTTTCTACATATACAATCATATATCATCTGTGAGTAAACACAGTTCTGTTTCTCCCTTTCCAACGTTTATGCCATTTATTTTATTTCCTTATTGTAGTGGTTAGGCCCTATACTACTGGAAAAAAGTGACAAGAGTGGACATCGTTTGCTGTTCCTGATCTCAGGGGGAAAGTATTCAATATTTCACCATTGAATATGTTAACTGTAGGGGTTTGTTATTTTGCAAATATACTTTGTCAAAATTAAGGAAGTTTCTTTCTATTCCTAGTTTGCAGAATGCTTAATGTGACTAAATAATTTTACCACATTTTTTTCCTACTGAGATAATCACATGGGGTCCTTCTCCCTCCCTCCAACATCTACCACATACCTCCTCCCAACCCTTTATTTTGTTAATATGGTGAAATAAATGATTTTCAAATGTTAAATCAACCTTGCATTTCTGGAATAAACTCTACCTGGTCAGGATGTATTATCTTTCTCATATCACTGTACATTTGCTAACATTTTACTTAGGATTTTTGCGTTTATGTTCATGAGATATTGGCTTGTAATTTTCATTTCTTGTAGTACACTTGTCAGGTCGGGTATCAAAGCTCTCTTCAATTCGTAAGATGAGCTGAAAAGTATCACACGCTTTGTTGTTAAAATATACATCACTAATACCTCTTACTTCCCAAGATAAAAGCCAATTCTCCAATAAAATAGAGGTTATAATCCATTAACACCTCCTTATCTTACTTCCTATATAAAATATTACAAGCCATGACTATTATTAGTACTTGTAAAAAAAAGAAAAATAGATTTTTCTCATGGATAAAAACGGAATAAAAGAAGTATTTTGTAAAAATTACCTACTGCAAAAGAAGGTTATTACAAATTAAGTCATCCAAGTATCATTTTTTAATAACAAGTGCCCAAGTTAAAATCAAATACAAAAGAAACATAGTTAGGATGCCCCAAAGCAACACTCCCAATAAGCTAGTTCTCACAGGTGTCTAAAGCAGAAGTGCCTTGCTTAAATGCAATAAAAAGACAGCATTCTGGCTTCCCTGGTGGCGCAGTGGTTGAGAGTCCGCCTGCCGATGCAGGGGACGCAGGTTCGTGCCCCGGTCCGGGAAGATCCCACATGCCGCGGAGTGGCTAGGCCCGTGAGCCGTGGCCGCTGAGCCTGCGTGTCCGGAGCCTGTGCTCCGCAACGGGAGAGGCCACAACAGTGAGAGGCCCACGTACCACAAAAAAAAAAAAAAAAAAGACAGTATTCTGAGGAGTTATGTGTAGGAAACTTATTAATATATAATTACCATATAGTCAACTTTTATATTAAGTAAATAATCAGCCTTTCAATAAATCTCAATGTTCACTTATGACATTCCCTTAAAGCAGCATACAGATGTGTTTTCTGTAGCAAAACTTAACTGGGAATTCTAGTGAGGACGACAGGAGTTTACTTTAAAATTAAGTTTATCAAATATTTTCAGGAATTAACGATTTTATTTCTTACAAGAATACCAAGTAGCTTAAAAGAGACAAAGGGATTGAAGATCTTGCAGAGAAATATCTTAACATCAAAGAAAAAAATGTTTAAGTCAGTAATCAATTTTTGCTACAACAGCTCAGTTCCCAGAAAATTCAGCATAGCAAATAATTATATATAAATCATATTTCTCTGTAAGAAAAATAACCCTGGTAATAATACTGAGTAATCCACAGAATAATCCTGACAGAGGCCAATCCATTTTTTAAAATTAGTCAATAACAGTTATGGAAAGAAATGATAATACATTTCCTTAATCTTTATAATAACATAGCAAAATTACACAACAAATACAAATTTTAAAAATCAAAGGGTTACTTAAATGACTGTATTTTATCGTTAAGGAAACAGAGAAAGTAAGACTTATCCAGGATCATCCAGAATGTCAGCTGCTAAATCCTAACAGCCAAATTCTCTATATGACATGCAATGTTCCTTCAATTATGCCACACAATTTCCCTTTTAAAAGTTCCATGGTACAGATGTCAGCTTATCATCATGCAAGGGGACCAGGATATATTTTTAGATTACCAAAAAAAAACCCTGCTAAGGAACAATAACATCCTGTACCATAAGTCTGATATACCTAAAACTGATATAAGAACATTAAATATTCAACTGATTAGTCAGTTTACCTTCTTAGAATTTAGAAGAGCTTTACGGGGATAATTTGGACAGTCTAAACCTTTTTTAGAAAACTAACCAGGATGGACTTCCCTGGTGGTGCAGTGGTTAAGAATCTGCCTGCCAATGCAGGGGACACGGGTTCGACCCCTGGTCTGGGAAGATCCCACATGCTGCAGAGCAACTAAGCCCATGTGCCGCAATACTCTGAGCCTGTGCTCTAGAGCCTGCAAGTCACAACTATTGAGCTTGCATGCCACAACTACTGAAGCCTGTGCGCCTAAAGCCCATGCTCCGCAACAAGAGAAGCCACCGCAATGAGAAGCCCGTGCACCACAATGAAGAGTAGCCCCCGCTGGCCACAACCAGAGAAAGCCCGCGTGCAGCAAGAAAGACCCAATGCAGCCGAAAATAAATAAATAAATAAATAAAATTTTAAAAAAAACAAAACTAACCAGGATGGTATATGCAGATGCCACCTTTATTCTTCATAAATCTCTCTAGAGTAAGCTGAGGCACTCAAACATCATTTTACTGATCACTCTACTCAAACAATACCTATTTAATAGCTATTACAGTATCTTAATATTTAGCAGTAAAAATTAGGTTTTAAGTTTCCTCTTTCTTAGCCCTCTCACATGCAATCTTAGAATAACAAAGAATCACTAGAGAGTTTAGTGGGTGCTATTTACAGGAAGGGGATAAAATTTTACATTTGTGTACTTGTTTGCTTTAACAATGACAAAAGGGCTTCCCCGGTGGCACAGTGGTTGAGAGTCCGCCTGCCGATGCAGGGGACACGGGTTCGCGGCCCAGTCCAGGAAGATCCCACATGCCACGGAGCAGCTGGGCCCGTAAGCCATGGCTGCTGAGCCTGCGCGTCTAGAGCCTGTGCTCCGCAACGGGAGAGGCCACAACAGTGAGAGGCCCGCGTACCGCAAAAACAATGACAAAAGATATTGTTTGGATGCAAGGTTTGAGTTTTTCCCAGCCTTCAATTTAAAAAAAAATTGAAATAACATTTGATGATGGGGAACATTCTCCTACTCTTCCTAAGACTTCTCTGAATCACTGAGCTCTAAGGATTATGCAGTAAAAACCCCTATGGACTAAGGGAACAGAAATAACCAAGAATAAGCAAAAACAAAATGCTATTCTGTAAACACGTGCACTGAAGATGACAGGAAGTTACATACTTGTAAATAATTGCTTTCCTTAGAAGATTCTTTAAAATATTTACTGAGTAGGGTTTTTTTCATAAATAGCCCACTACCATTAGTGATTTTTCACAAATATACTTAATGCTAACTATATTAGCAAATTTATACTATCAATTCCAAATTTGGACACCTTTCATCTAAAGCTATACAAAACACGTTAAAAAACAATAATGAGAACAAGTAGCAAAACACGCTAGAAAAGTTTTGTAAAAGCTATAATTAGTACACTTCAATTTCAGAATCCAAATCTTGACATAAACAGATCCTACACATAATCAGGGTTGTAGATCTCACCAGAATTGCTCAGCACTATACTAAGTAACAGCCCTTATATTGTTATTTTATTCCTTAGTTACTTATTATCAAGGAGGATAAAAATAATCAAAGTAAATATTTAGATGCTGCTAAATTTAGTGGCATAGACTAAGCCACACAAATTCGGGAGGGGGGCATATATGGAAAACTCTGGAGGTTTCATAGTAGAGGTTAGAGAGATTTTCAATCTTTAAAAGAATGACTAGAAATCTGTTAGGCAGAAGGAAATTACTCCAGAAAAACCACCATCAAAAAAAAGAAAAAAGAGGCAGGAAATAGCAAGAGACAATGAACAGAAAAGGGCTCATTAGGGTAGAAAGGAACAACTAAAGCAGAGGTAACAGAACCACAATAATTGAGGTATGATGAGTTACGAATCAAGCAAATTCAGCTGAGGAAATGAAAGTTTCTGTACGAAGTTAACATTAAAATAAGTCTGAGAGTAGAATGGTGGCAGTGTAAACTAGAGGAGGGGGATGCCAGTCCAGAGGCCAGGGAACTGAAGGTGACAACTGGACTACAAACACAAGTGAATGACTCTAAGGCTTCTAGACTGCACAACAAGGAAAATAGTGGCATCACTTCCAGAGGTGGGTGGCTAGGAGGAGAAACTAATTTATAGGGGAAATAATGAATCATTTTAGGCATTTTATGCCTAAAGTAATGCTGAGGTACCCAAGAAGAAAACGTAATATACAAAATGAGATTCATACTCAAATTTCTAGAATTGCCAAAGTTTAACACAGTAAATAGGAAAATAATATACTGAAGAACCAGTGAAGACAGCAGGTCAGCTATTTCATGGGATGCTCTAATTAACTATAATGTCAATTTCCCACGTAATCTTCATAATGGAAGGAGCCATGGACTAGAAAGAAATCAAAGACCCAGATTCCAGTCCTAGCTCAGTAACTCATAGTGTATAGGTCAATCATAAAACTATTTGGGGGTTACCTTCCTTAAGGTGAGGATAGAGAAATGAGAAAGATTATCTAATTCTAATATTCTGTGATTTGACATACCTCAAAAAAGACTAAAGATCAGGGCCATTCACTCATACCTAAACAGAAAAAAATAACACATCTACACAGAACTATAAGACAGGTCCAAAAATGTTCTCAATTTAATCAGCATTTGCTCCCCTCATTTAAAAAAAGAAATGACTAACTATATTGTCAGGCTATACACAATAGCTGTTTGTAATAAATAAAAAACTTATTTACATCATTCTAATTTACAAAATACTCTTTAAATAATTGATTTTATTTAATCATCATAAAACCCCATAAGACAAATATTACCATCACCATTTTACTGATGAGGAAAAGGGTTCAGAAAGGTTAAGAGCACTGCCCAAAGTCATGCAGTTAGTAAGTGAAGAGCCAGAGCTCAAACTCAGGTAAAATTCCTAATTCATGGCCCTCTCTATAAGGTTGTCAGAGTTTTCAAATTAAAATGTATGATATCTCTAAAGAAAAAATAGTAAATAAAAACTAAAAACAAAAAGAATGGAGCATAAGGAAATACAGTGAGCAGCAAGTATTAAAATGCTGATGCAAAAAGCGGTAGGCAAATATTTTTCTTTTTCAGCAAATGGAAAGCAAAAAGGTAGGAATAAAAGATACAATTAAGAAGCAAGAGTTTGGAACGACGAAAAAAATTAAAAAATTAAGATGCCACCTGAAAACATTTATGAAGCCAAGACACACACATCATGCTATTCTTCTTACCTTTTCAGTTGCTGAAACAGATGGCTTTGATACAAAACCCAACCTGTCCTTCACAGATAACTTAGTTACATTCTAAAAAAATTAAAATGGACATATTCAGTGTTTCCCCAAACATATAAAAGTCTGTAGGGATTTTGAACATTCTGATTTTACTAACATATACTGACTCTGTAAGTATACTGATGTTAATAACAAAACCTTGGGCCTTCCGCAAAGACAGAGACAGAAAGAAAATGTTTGGAAAAACAAACAGTATACAGTATTACTCAATCATGGAAAATTATGATGTAAAATAAGAGGTTTGAACCAGGTGGTTGCTAAAGTCCCCTCCAGTGATACAGAACCATACATTCTTAGAATCCTATGTTGACAAGTAGAAAGTTTGTACATTCTAAATATTAGAGCTGAGTAGTTAAAATACGTGCCTGCTTTGTGAGCTTAAAACAAACGCCATTCTTTCCTAAAGTATGTTTGTTTTATAGCCAAATACACTGTATTTGGTGATGATTTGGGATAGCAGGATTGGAGGGGTTTTTTTTTAGTACCTAATAATTTACTAATTTACATTCTGCATGTTTTTATAAAATCTCAATATCTTACTCTTCAGGAATTATCTACAAAGACTTATTTTAACAAGGTGGCATCCATTAGCTAAGTAGGATACGACATCCTAACTATTTCACACAGCAAATATTGAAACATAAGAGACTGAGGGTGCAGAAACAAGAAAGTGCCACTCAAGTGTGGAAGGGAGGGAAGGGAATGGCATATGGAGAAGAGAATTTGAGAGTCAGGAATAAGTGATGCAAAGTTCTGAGAGAGCTGCATAAGTAACTTCAAGGTTTAAGCCTTCCCTTTCCAAAAGCTTTCAGTTCAGTCTACTGCATAATTATCTCTGGAACAACATTCTAGTTAAGTAAAAGATGATGGGAAAAATAAGATTTAATGTACTAAAACTTTACATTTTAGACAGTTTTGCTGGAAAATGTCTCCTCTACAAAGTGAAAAAGTATTCTCATAAATAAGTATTACCTACAGGAAAGAATTTAAGATTCAAATACTATAGGAAAACTAGACTGTGAAAACGTTATGGTAATGGTAAAAAAAAAATTTTACAAGTGGTGTTCAAATACGAATAGACCATCATATTTCTACATAAAACGTATATATAATACATACATACATACATATATATATATATATATATATACACAGACACACACTCAATTAATTATAATTCAAATCACCAAGGGAAACTAATTGACTGAGAACCTATTACATGACAGGCACAGTAAGACTTTTCATTTACCTGAGGAAGTTCTGAACTGGCACTCTGGCCTTCTGCTGGTTCAACAGTACTTGAAGGTACCGGACCCAACCGCTCTTTGACTGACTGCTTCACAACAGGCAAAATGGGCTGCTGGACTAAAGGCTGCATTACCTCAGAACAAGAAAAACATGTTAAACAAGTTGATTAGTTCATGAGCATGGAAGGTAACCTTTGTTATTTTGTTACTAAGTTGCCCATGCAGAGAAAGTTTTAAAAGTGCAGCTTATAATCAAAACCTAACCACCTCCCAAATTCCTTCATGCATGTATACAGATGCATAAAATATTTATAAAGTAGAGGAAAAAATAAAAATCTGACCTTCACTATCTTCTGTCTCTTTTTTTAGTTAACAGAAGAAAGATAAACAGAAAAACAAACTGCTGTAGTACACCTCTGCAAACAATTAAACTTTACATATTCATTGGCTCACTGATTGAAAGAGAGAAAAAGAGAGGGAAGGAAGGATTTCCAATATGAACCCACAGTCTGAGTTTCTAGAATACACACAGCTACCATGTACTGGCGTATCTCCCATGTAACAGGGACTGTTCTATAGGCTTTACACATATCATCTTATAATCATCTAAACTAGGGATTAATGTCATAATAAAATGAGAGAACAGGTTAGAGAAGTTGCTTTTAAAAAACACTGTGCCAAGGGCTTCCCTGGTGGCGCGGTGGTTGAGAGTCCGCCTGCCAATGCAGGGGACACGGG